CACTATCGCCTTTGATTCATCGTTTTAATTTTTTTTTTGACAGGGGACCACGTTTATGTTAACGTTGAGAGCTGCTGCTACTCAGCCGTAGATTGAGTATCGTCAGCTTCCACTATCGCCTTTGATTCATCGTTCTTAATTTTTTTTTTGACAGGGGACAACAGAGTTCAATTTTTAAGATCAAGATCGTGTGTGTTCGTTCTAATGTTCACTCAGTATAGGACATTAATGTTATGAGTCATTTGTGCGGCATTTCTACCGCGACGGAACTCGTAGACGAAAAAGATGCAAATGTAGTGAAAAATAAAACACTAATCATAAATAAATTATTTAATTAGAAAATAAAATCTTATATTTAAAAAAAAAAAAACTTCAGAGGTGTCAGGGGACACCCGGATGACCGCGACAGGAAGACACAGCGGAACACACGCTGGCGCGTTGCTCTGGATTCGACGAGCAACGCGCCGCCCTCGTCGCGGTCATGGAGAGGACCTCTCGCTGCCGCGCGTCGTGGCTACGATGCTCGGCAGCGACGCGTCCTGGAAGGCGATGCTCGACTTCTGCGAGTCCACCATCTCGCAGAAGGAGGCGGCGGAGCGAGAGAGGGAGAGCTCTTCCCTTTCCGCACCGATCCGTCGCCGTCGAGCCGGGGGCCGGAGGCGGGAATACGCCCGTACGTCCCGGCCCCTGTAGGTGGCGGCCTCCCCCCGGTGAAGGTCAAGGGGCGACCTGAGGGGGTGAGGCCGCGCGGCGCGCTACCAGCACTCTAGCGCGCTGCCGTGGAGTGAATAGAGCGACCGGTCGACGGTGTATCGCGTCCCGACCCGGCAGGCTGGTTCTGGTCCGAAGTTCCTTTCGATTAATTAGTGAAGGAATTGTAATTTTTTTTTTAAGTTATAATAATAAATTACGGCATTATGAAGAAGAAAAAAACAATACTATGAACTAAATTACTATTGTTGAAACGCTATCTCGAGAAACTGTACTCATTACGCGGACCAATCGGATACGAGCAATGTCACGCGATAAGCGCCTACACGTTGATTGGTCAGAATGACGGATCTAAAAAGTGTCGTGACAACTTTTCGTAAGATTTTTTTCCGTCTTTTTTTCACAACGTGCGATAAGGAACTTCGTTCCAATATTTTGAGAATTTATTGCCAGCCACACATAAATTACGTTTCAAATGACCAGTGTGTTAAAACGACAACTGCATAGGTAAATTAAGAGATGTGATTTTGTTTAAGTTTATAAATGTTGATTGTACCTTGTTGTGTTACTATATCCAAATTTACCGGCTAGCTAGTAAATATTCTTAGAAAATAAATGTATTTCTCCGTATCTCAAAGTTCAACCGTCCATCAAATTATCTCCCAATGCCTTTATGATTTAGGAAGCTATAGAAACTGAACGGACTTTTCCTGAAATATCTGTATGTTGAAACGAGAATTCTACGAGATATTTTGATTATGAAGTTTAGTAACTATCTAAGTGAAGAGTATTTATTACATTTTCGACGAATTCCCTTTTAATTAAGTATTATATAAATATATCAGACAGGAAGAGAGGCCGTCCCAGAACAATTTGGCGTCGCTCGGTGGAGTAGGAACTTGGCGCCTTGGCCATAACGTGGGAAGGAGCTAAAACATACTGCCCGAGACCGTTATCAATTGGTTGCTTCAATAATCGATAGAGATAAATATAAAAGTATGGGCCAGCCTTTCGGGGAGGGTTCACACGAGAGGGGTTCTTGCATGACTGCACGATAAATTAATGGAACCTTTTAAATCTTATACTATATAATTTATTGATTCAAGTGATCTGACTAATATTATACACATATATCGCGCGTCTTGTAGCTATTGAGTCCCGTTGAGAAGTGAAGGTAGTTGTGTTTTTTTACTAGATGCGGAGTTAGCGCCGCGCCGCCTTCGTCTTTACCGGCTTCGCAGAAGAGGAGTAGATGCGTAAAAAACGTTTATTAACTACTAGCTGACCCGGCAGACTTCGTAGTGCCTCAATCGATAAAGTAAAAGACACATCAAAGGAAAAACAAAATTGTTTGTTTTTATATAATTCGAGCTTTTTTATATTTTCTCACCTTTTAATCCTTCCCCAGACTTCCACGAATAATTCAAGACCAAAATTAGCCAAATCGGTCCAGCCGTTCTTGAGTTTTAGCGAGACTAACGAAGAGCAATTCATTTTTATATATATAGATTATTGTATGCACCACAGAATCCAATCTCACCTAAACACAGACCTGTAGTCTGTATGTATGTAAGTACGTACGTACGTACAGTATGATCGACACTGTGATACAATATTTTTATCGCGCAGAAACAAAACAGATATCAAAAGCCAATTTATCACACGACAACCGTAATTTTGAACTTCAAAAGCTCGGTTCGAACTTTTTTCCTCTATTTCCGGAAGCGCGATTCCGTCCTCACGAATCCTGTTTTCCACTTTACTACGTGACGGAAATACAAAAATCGTTGTTATTTTGGGCATATTTTATTATTTTTGGGGCAACGATAGTAGTAGTAGTATTAAGCGGTTTCCTTGCTGGCAAAGACTGAAAATCTAATATATATATTTGACCAATATATTTTATCTCAAAATGGCTTTACTACTTTCTATTTGTGTGATTTATTGTTTTACTTTTACATTAATTTGTTTTTAAAGTTTTATATGGGGGAATAAGCTGTAAAATGCTGTCTGAAGGCAATAGACCTAAGAATGTGAATTGCCACCTGAAGAAATAGGTTGGGATATTTGCACGAACAAATGACAAGATCTTCTTCATCGTTCCCTCACTGCTGGAGATCGCGACCACATGTGACTTTCCTCCACAATGTTCGATCATGGGTGGCATGGACCGCATGGTATAGACTGCCGCTGACCGCTTTCTTAACCAGATCTGACCATGAGTGTTCTGCCCACGGTAAGCTTGCCTTCTATGCGACCCAAAATTATGAGCTTCTCTAACTCATGTCTGCGAGACTGCATGATGTGTCTGAAGAAGTTCATAACACGTTCTTGGCACGTTCTGGTGGTAGGACCTCTTGTGAATCCGCACGGGTAAGTACCACCACCCCGCCTATTTCTGCCGTGAAGTAGTAATTAATGAGTTTCGACTTAAAGGGTGGGGCAGCCGTTGTAACTATGCTGAGACCTTAGAATTTATATCTCAAGGTGGGTGGCAAATGTACGTTGTAGATGTTTATGGGCTCCAGTAACCACTTAAACTCAGGAGGGCTGTGAGCTCGTCCACCCATCTAAGCAATAAATAAAAAAAGATGGTAGAGCCTTTTTTGAATGTTTAGCTCTATTAAAAATGACAAGATAGGAAATATTTAATTTGAAAAATTCGTTAGTTATAATTGTTTTCGCTCTTTTTTACTTACTCTCTTTCCGTTTTCATTACTTTTAAATTTACAGACACACCGGATTTTGTTTGTTCATTTTATGAATTAATTACTTTAATACTGGCCTAATGTACTTCTTGTCCGGTAACTTTGTTTATCTCTAGCTACGTTGTGGGCTCCATAAAACTGCTCGACATTTGTAGTGAACTCCCGAATATGTCAGCTATGAAATTAATACAGGGACGAATCACGAATTGGAGCAATCTCGAAATTACTTTTCCTACGTCGCCCTGATTATTCGTTGCCATTTTTTTCTCGGGAGCACAATGGGACAATTCGCGCTCCAAAGATTCGAATCCGGATGGTGTTAGTAATGCGGTATGCTCGCTTCACTCGAGTCGCAGTGGGCTATACTCTTACTGCTTCTCGACGCTGACTGTGCTAAATAATTAGGGTCGTATGATGATTGGAATATATGATTAGGGTCGTATACCCTTTGTCAATTGTAAGGCGTAGTGTAAGCCCAAATGGGTAAGAACCACCTACTGTTTCTGTCACTAAGGCTGTATTCTGGGTTGATAAGTGGGATAGCTGCTTACATGAACGTGGGTTCATACACCGATTTATGCTCGAAAAAGTTAATTTATTGTTTAGATATGAAAACGTGGATGCAATCCACCTTGGGACATGAGGTGGAATTCTTTTTGTCATATTATCATTGGGCCTTCAGAGCAAGTGATCTAATTGATAGCTGACTATTATCAGGTAAGTTCAGTACAGTTCAACCACACATGTAAAAAACTTTCTTCACTGGTGGTAGGACCTCTTGGGAGTCCGCACGGGTAGGTACCAACACCCCGCCTATTTCCGCCGTGAAGCAGTAATGCGTTTCGGTTCGAAGGGTGGGGTAGCCGTTGTAACTATACTGAGATCTTACAACTTATATCTCGAGGTGGGTGGCGCATTTACGTTGTAGATGTCTATGGGCTCCAGTAACCACTTAACACCGGGTGGGCTGTGAGCTCGTCCATCCATCTCTAAGCAATAAAAAAAAAAAAAAAATAAGAACAATGAAAAAAAACAAAATAGTTCACGCCGCTCCGTTTTATTTCATAACTGAACATTTTCTCTTCATATATAATATTGTAAATAGTCAATGTCAATTTGAGTGTACCCATCTCAGAGTAAATTGCACGTCAGCGTAACTTTGTTATTTCCAATAAGAATTGTTCGACCGAAAAGAATTGTAAGACAGAAAAAATCTGGATAGCAGGTGCGTTCGGGAAAGTTGACTGACTTACACGCGTGATTCATTGACGGCACGTTCGTGCAACGCGGTTTAATAATGATTTCACTCTTGATAATATCATAACTGGAAGAAGCTGGAGGAGACCTTTACCCGAAAAGAGGTTCCGATCAATGGTACAGAAGCAAGTAACGATAGCGAGTAAAAGAAAATGAAAGAAATTCTACCCTAGTATATATTCAATTTGGGTAATTACTGGTGGTGGGACCTCTTGTGAGTCCGCGCGGGTAGGTACCACCACCCTGCCTATATCTGCCGTGAAGCAGTAATGCGTTTCGGTTTGAAGGGCGGGGCAGATGTTGTAGATGTCCATGGGCTCCAGTAACCACTTAACACCAGGTGAGCTGTGAGCTCGTCCACCCATCAAAGCAATAAAAAAAAATATTATTATGGATTGAAAATAAACGGGCTTAATTATTATTATCATTAATATCATAACTCATACAATGAAAAATTGACATTACAAAATGGCAAACAACAAACAATGTAGTAGTACCAAGAACACAAAAAGACAATCCTGCAAATTTTGTTTCGTTGGGTTTTCTTCTAATTAATTTTGTACACAGCATTGGAATCATGCGGTGGCACGCAAGGATTGCCTTTTATTCAATAGCTTTTCCGCTTAGCTAGGACAGGAATTACTCTAGGGAGCAGCTAAATAGGATAAGGAGCGTTAATAACTGCCAAAGAAGAAGTCTGGTCAAAGAAGGCCTTGCTTAAGGTCAAGGGAAACTGCTTCGTGAATGTGCATCATCATCATCATCATCATCAGCCTTTATCTGCCCACTGCTGGACATAGGCCTTCCCCAATGCCTTCCACATAATGCGGTCCTCCGCCTTGAATGTGCGATCGATGCGAATTGCGATCTACTTTGTACTGGTGGTAGTAGCTCTTGTCAGTCCGCACGGGTAGGTACCACCACCCTGCCTATTTCTGCCGTGAAGCAGTAATGCGTTTCGGTTTGAAGGGTGGGGCAGCCGTTGTTCTGTAAAAACTGAGACTTTAGAACTTATTTCTCAAGGTAGATAGCGGCATTTACGTCATAGATGTGTATGGAATCCGGTTACCACTTAACACCAGGTGGGCCGTGAGCTCGTCGAGTAACATCTATACTTATATGTATAAAATTGAATTGCTGTTCGTTAGTCTCGCTAAAACTCGAGAACGGCCGGACCGATTTGGCTAATTTTGGTCTTGAATTATTGTGGAAGTCCAGAAAAGGTTTAAAAGGTAGATAAATATGAAAATGCTCGGAATTCAATAAAAATAACAATTTTGTTTTCCTTTTGAAGTGTCCCCATCGGACGGATTCCTTTTGTTTGTTTTAAGTTTATTTTATACAAAAGCTTAGATCTTTTAACTATCTATTGAGGCACTACGAAGTCTGCTGGGTCAGCTAGTAAGCAATAAAAAAGAAGCTTAGAAGATCCGGTGAGAAACTCATTCGGCTGTTGCTATTAACTAAGGTTCACGTATCTGCTGCGAGGGCAACGCACGCTGACGAAGCAAGCTCATTTCTTTAGGTCTACATTTTAATCTATTTTTAATAATATTAAATTTAAAAAAATACAAAAAAAATTGGCATTTCTAGATATAAGTGCATCACGAAGCTTAACCTATCTTTTCGGGAAATTTACTGGGTCGTTATTTTCGAGTGGTCTCTCTCACTTAAAACGGGTTTATTATGGACCCGTGGAGAATGGATACATCTCATCTCACTCGCACTTGTGTTTTTTTAATGTATGTGTAGAAACGACTGGGATTTTTTTGCCCATGTAGACAGGCGAGGATACGGCCCATCTGATGGTTTAATGGCTACTGTCGCCCATGGACGTCGGCAATGCCAAGGGCACAACAAAGCCGCTGTGAACCGTTAAGTAAACTATCCACAAGCTTCGTTTGAAGAAGGACATGTCATAGCGTTCGGGAAACAACGTGGAGGGGAACTCATCCGAAAGCCGGATGGTACGTGGCAAAAAAAAAGATCTCCGGAAACGTACTATGGATGAACGCAGTGGCTCTAGGTTGTATGAATGAACTCTATCCAGTCCTCATTACGAGTAATGTGCCCGAAGAACTTGAGGATTCGTATTTGGACTGTTGACGATAGTCTCTCCTTGATGTTGAGCTCTTTCAGGATCAAAACATTGGTACGGTGCGCGGTCCACGGAATTCTGAGGAGACGTCTTAATTAAGCATATATCATCCTAAAATCGTATGATATACTACTCTTATATGCTTTATAAAAACTGTGCCAATGCCGGTCCCAAGCCCGGATGAGAAAAAGGAAGGTTGAATCGGAGTTCAACCTTTCCACCGTAAAACAGTCAACGCCGAATGTCGGGCGGCGGTTAATTAGCCGGACCCAAATAAGGCTTCAACGGCCTCCAAGACCAAGACCCTCAGCATTGAGGATTATTGGCGCAAGGAGAAGGAATATAATATTAAATTAGATTCACTTTCAAATTGAAAAGTCCAAAACACGAATCTGTTCAAGTTTTAAATCTAGTTTTATATTTTCCTGTTTCAATTTTTTTTTCTTTGTGAGTGAGTTGCTGAGTTGTTGTCAACGCTCGGGGATTTTATCCACTTATCTATCTATCACTGTAGTAGTCCATTAGGTATATTCCTAAGTCTATGGTCGTCAAGAATTGTTGTAGAACACGTAAAGCCTCAAAGGTCATTTACTTGCCACATATTAATAGAATAAATTATCGAGATTCTAAGTGTAGGTACAGTAAATCTGAGACGACACGAGTTTTCAATTAATTTACCTACTTTAAGTACACACACGTGTTTCAATTAATTGTTTAATTTCACAAAATACGTCTTCAGAAATTACACAAGAGAATTTGTTCGTTTGAAAACTTAATTGTGAAATGTGTTTTCATTTTGGGTTGAACAATACTAACGTGACGCATGAGGCGTCCTCTATGTTAATCAGGTCTATTAAAAGGGTTCTTTATAGGTTTGTATTTTTTGGTTTTTTTAGAAGAAGAAGAAGAAGAAAATCTTTATTCGCCAGAAATATAGTTTACAAGATATTGTGGATGTAGGACATAGTTTCATATATTTCGCCTGTTTAGACATGCGAAAATTTAACTTATTTTTATATTAATTCTAACACAAAATTTACTAAATCTATCTATTTTTACATTCTATCACTTCTAATTCTAATATTTTATTATGTACAACACTTATCATTTAAAAATTCTTGCACATTATAATAAGCCTTATCTATTAGCCATTAATATAATTTTCTTTTAAATTAATATTTGGGATTTTAAAAGACAATAAATTCGAGGCTAGGTATTGTGTTATGCACAGGATTTGTGTTATGTTTTATGTATCAGGGGACGTACACAACGACTAAAGGGTGTGTAGTGATTCGCGAAGCCACGATATCGTGAGATTGCTGCGACCTTCAATTGAAATTTTTTATTGCTAGATGGGTGGACGAGCTCGCAGCCCACCTGGTGTTAAGTGGTTACTGGAGCCCATAGACATTTACGACGTAAATGCGCCACCCACCTCGAGATATAAGTTCTAAGGTCTCAAGTATGGTTACAACGGCTGCCCCACCCTTCAAACCGAAACGCATTACTGCTTCACGGCAGAAAATAGGCAGGGTGGTGGTACCCACCCGCGTGGGACTCACAAGACGTCCTACCACCAGTAATTATTACGCAAATTAGAATTTTGCGGGTTTCATTTTAATTACACGATGTTATTCCTTCACCGTGGAAGTCAATCGTGAACATTTGTTGAGTACGTATTTCATTAGAAAAATTGGTACCCGCCTGAGATTCGAACATCGGTCCATCGCTCAACACGAATGCATCGGACGTCTTATCCGTTAGGCCACGACGACTTCATAAAAATAATAGCATTCCAAGAACGGTTGTAGATGTAAAGCTAGGGATGGGGAAAAATGAAGATGGAGGAAGCCTGTAGGATGAATGCCTATACGCGGAGGAGTGTTCCATTAACAGAATAACTTGTATATACAAGTTATTCTGTTAATGTAATGTAATTTTATGAATAACCTGTTTTGTAAGGTTGTTCGAAATAAAAGGCTTATTGTTATTATTACATTACAATTTTTTTTATTTTTTTATAAATAAATAAATAAATATTTACTAGCAATCACGCCACGTTAACTGGTCCCGTGATAAGTTCGTAAAGAACTTGTGTTACAGGTACCAGATAACGGATATAAATATAAGATTTTTATTATACACATACATATATTTTAATATACATCCATAACCCTGGAAAAGACATTTATATTTATCATACAAATATCTTCCCTTGGCGGGATTCGAACCCGCGACCTCCTTGTGTAGTGACCATGTCACTTACCATTACACCAGACGGCCGTTAATTATTATAACGGCTGTGCCACTATTCATAATATGTGGCATGAGGTTCTTCATTTTATTAAGGTCAGTAGTTTGACCTTTTTAAATCAAACTGGATCGTTTGGAACCTCTGGGTCTCTGGAGGGACTTCGGTTCCCTCTGTATTTTGTACCGTATGTTCCATGGGGAGTGAGGAATTGTTCGAGATGATACCGGCATCTCGTTTTTCCCATCGCACCGCCCGCCACCGGAGTAGAGTTCATCCATACTACCTGGAGCCACTGCGTTCATCCACAGTGCGTTTCCAAAGGTCTTTTTTGCCACGTACCAACCGGCTATGGAATGAGCTCTCCTCCACGGTGTTTCCCGAGCGCTATGACATGTTCTTCTTCAAACGAGGCTTGTGGAGAGTATTAAACGGTAGGCAGCGGCTTGGCTCTGCCCCTGGCATTGGTGAAGTCCATGGGCGACGGTAACCACTCACCATCAGGTGGGCCGTATGGTCGTCGGCCTACAAGGGCAATTAAAAATGATATTATAAGCTAAGAGCAATCAACCCACTGAACAGTTTGATTATCTTCACAAAGACTAAGCGATTTCATTATGAATCTTTTGTTATTTGTCGTTTCCTTTAAGTCGGAAAACAATTAGATACGGAACATCCAAAGCAACCGGTTGTAAGCTGATCGTTTATCACCGTTTTGCAGCGACAAATCTCGGGCCGGTTATTGTCTTTCGAACCATCAATCACGAAATTATGCTTTTGACATTTGAAAGGTATTTCCAAATATCTGAACAGGAAAGGTTCATTTTCGTCTATATCGTGAAATCAGAATCCAATTCGAAATCTCTGCCCACTATTTCAGCAGCTTTTTATTGTAGACTAGCTAACCCGGCAGACTTCGTAGTGCCTCAATCGATAAATAAAAGACCTTAGCTTTTGTATAAAATAAACTTAAAACAAACAAAAGGAATCCGACGAACGGGGGACACATCAAAGAGAAAACAATTTTTTTTATTTTTATTTAATTCCGAGCATTTTCATATTTATCCAACTTTAAAACTTTCTCTAGACTTCCGACGAATAATTCAAGACCAAAATTAGCTAAATCAGTCCAGCCGTTCTCGAGTTTTACCGAGACTAACGAACATCAATTCATTTTTATAGATATAGATTTCAGAAAATTTTAAGTCATTAATTTGTGGTAGGTAATTTTCCTATACTTCTCGGCCTCCTTTCCTTTCTATTAAACACACTTTTATTAGCTTTACTTTGATCTACGAGCATAAATGTATGTAACGGAAATTTGCAACTTAATTTTCACAGAATTCAAGCGGTCCTGTTAATTTGAAACTCCGATCACGTATCAAGGATCGATGATACTACAATAATTTTATTACTTTGGCCCAATATCGGGATTTTGAAAGAATCATTTTTGTTTGGATTTGCTATTAAAACAATAATGTTATTTTTTGGTTTTACAGTACATCGATTTTTAGGAATGTAAATTTACCCATAATCACCAACTTTCCTTGGCTGTCTAGTCTAGTCCTAATCCCTAAATCCCCTAATCCCCTAGTCTCCTTATATATTATGAAGATCACTGACAGTACGACAGGTTGTAAGTCCGCCCTGAAAAGTGAAATATCCTTCCTATATAATAATTAAGACTCCAAACTTATGGCTCGAAGTGTATGATATCATTTACATTATGTTTATAAGTTCCGATAACCAAATAGTTCATAAGCTCTTCTACCTATATAGATAGCTAATTAACCTGTTGATAGATAGAATAACGACTATTACGTTAATAAGATTGAAACTTTACTGGTGGTAGGATCTCTTGCGAGTTCAAACGGGTAGGAACCACTATCCTGCCTATTTGCTGCCGTGAAGCAGTAACTGAGACCTTAAAACTCATATCTCAAGGTGGATGGGTATCTCAAGATGTATATGAGTTCCGGTAATCACCTAACTCTAGGTAGGCTGTGGGCTGGTCTCCACCCATCTATGCAATAATTACTTTAAAAAAAAAAAAACCTCAGAGGTGTCAAGGGACACCCGGATGGAACGAAGTTCCTTTCGATTAATTAGTGAAGGAATTGTAATTTTTTTTTAAGTTATAATAATAAATTACGGCATTAGGAAGAAGAAAAAAACAATACTATGAACTAAATTACTATTGTTGAAACGCTATCTCGAGAAACTGTACTCATTACGCGGACCAATCAGATACGAGCAATGTCATGCGATAAGCGCCTACACGTTGATTGGTCAGAATGACGGATCTAAAAAGTGTCGTGACAACTTTTCGTAAGATTTTTTTCCGTCTAGCCCCCTTTCGCAACGCGCGATAAGGAAGTTCGTTCCAATTAGTGATTGCTTTGTAAAAAATAGACACGACGGTTGTATTAACTAGGGACATGAGGACCATATTGGAATGACCACTACGATTCGAAAAAACCATAGAAGAGAGTACAAGGAAATAACTTTAGCATTATTTTAATTTAAATATTCTCTTTAGCAACTTCAGCGTCTTCAAAATCACAAGCATCAGCAAAGATATCATCGCAAATAGAGTGAATACACAAATGGATATTAGCTCAAGTTCTAGATATTGCTTCCAAGGCATATTGGCGGCGGGGGCACGTATGTGCCTTGTTCCATTGTTCCGAATTGCATATTCAATCCACATAGCCGCTTTTTCCAAGGGCGGTTGGGGTTGATCGTGCAGCCAGGTATTCAGTTTGGCCATGTTCTTTCGGTACCTAAAATATTATCAACATAATTAAATCAGAAATAAAGGGTTTCTGTAATAATACTGTAACTGGCGGTAGGACCTCTTGTGAGTCCGCGCGGGTAGGTACCGCCCTGCCTATTTCTGCCGTGAAGCAGTAATGCGTTTCGGTTTGAAGGGTGGGGCAGCCGTTGTAACTATACTTGAGATCTTAGAACTTATATCTCTAGGTGGGTGGCGCATTTACGTTGTAGATGTCTATGGGCTCCAGTAACCACTTAACATCAAGTGAGCTGTGAGCTCGTCCACCCATAAAAGCAAAAAAAAAAACGATATTCAAAAGCAATTTACAATTTGAAATATACAATCTGATTCGATGAGATCATGAATATTCGACCTTTAGACTATAATGCCGAAAAGTACAGGGCTTTAGAGACAAGTACAGAATTAAGGCAGAAACAATACATTTAATAACAACGGTACATTTAGCATCGAAGGAAAATCAAAATATTTTCAAACATTATTTAATCCTCACGAATTTACCACAAGTTCTGACAGTTCTACAGTTCCAGTACTGAATAGAAACGGTCCGAAACTCAGGTTATGCTATTTTCCAATATAGGAGTGTAACTAGTAGCATTTTTTATTTTTTTTATTGCTTAGATGGGTGGACGAGCTCACAGCCCACCTGGGGTTAAGTGGTTACTGGAGCCCATAGACATCTACAACGTAAATGCGCCACCCACCTAGAAATATAAGTTCTAAAATCTCAGTATAGTTACAACGGCTGCCCTACCCTTCAAACCGAAACGCATTACTGCTTCACGACAGAAATAGGCAGGGTGGTGGTACCCACCCGTGCGGACTCACAAGAGGTCCTACCACCAGTAATATACAATTTACTACATACTTTTTATATCAGTATTTAAAATAACTGAATTTCAACATTCTACAAAATAGGTAAGAGATGTTAAGGTATTACTTTTTATTTTAACACCATAGCATCCAAAATACTGGTGGTAGGGCCTGTTAAGTGCCCGCAGGGGAATGTACCACCACCCTGCCTATTTCTCCTGCGAAGAAGTAACGCGTTTCGCTTTGAAGGGTGATGCAGGCGTTTTACTATAAAACTGAGCCTTAGAACTCATATATCAGACACTATAATGTTTAATGAATTAATTTTTGAACATATATTTTGTTTACTAGTATTGTCAAGAGTGTCATTAGCTTATAATTATAATATATTGGCTTATGCAGTGACATATTAATAATATACCCAGATAATATCTGACAGGAGATTGCGTGTACTGTAATTTTCAAGGTTTCTAATAGCCACTTATGCCGGCCACTCATATGCGCGCGAACATTTGTACATTGTACGAATGTTTGCGCGCATGTGAAGGGCCGTCAGACATTCCTTCGCAAACTTAGAAGCTGTGCAAATGGTTTCTCATACTCAATTTGTGAACCCATTTGCGCTTCCTCCTACACTTGTTTACGAATGTCTCACGAATTTCTCCTCCTTTTTAATTCTGCACTAGAACATTGAAGAGAAAAAAGGTTTTGAATTCTTTCCCAGACATCATTAACAGCCATGCGGTTTTTATGGGATTTCTTTTGATGAAGATACGCTACACAGTATAGACACAGCTTGGAAAACCACGAATGCAGCGAAAACTTTGCGTAATCATTTGCAAATGTCGTCCTACACTTGTGGGTTTGCGTATTCGTGCGAATGTGAGTGACCGGTATTAGATATAGAAAAAAAATGTTACCTGTTATCTGTAACAATCGTGGTTATGGAATCCTTCAAGATATCTTCAGTGATCGTTTCAAAATTTAACTTTTTAGTGACTCCGTGTTGAACGCAGTGATCCGCGTTGAAATATTGATCTAAATGCATCGGTATGGTTATGAATGGTACTCCGAACATAATGGATTCGTAAGTAGAATGAATCCCGCCATGGGTAATGAATAGTTTCAAATTTGGATGTTCTGAAAGTAAAAACAAATAATTAAATATAATCTGGCCCGTTAAGTTTTAAGTAAAGTGTAAAGTTTTTTTTTATTGCTTAGATGGGTGGACGAGCTCACAGCCCACCCGATATTAAGTAGTTACTGGAGCTCAAAGACATCTACAACGTAAATGCGCCACCCACCTGGAGATATAAGTTCTAAGGTCTCAGTATAGTCACAACGGCTGCCCCACCCTTCAAACCGAAACGCATTACTGCTTCACGGCAGAAATAGGCGGGGCGGTGGTACCCACCCGCGCGGACTCACAAGAGGTCCTACCACCAGTAATTACGCAAATTATAATTTTTGCGGGTTTGATTTTTATTACACGATGTTATTCCTTCACCGTGGAAGTCAATCGTGAATAATTGTTAAGTACGTATTTCATTAGAAAAATTGGTACCCGCCTGCGGGATTCGAACATTGGTGCATCGCTACATCCGAATGCACCGGACGTCTTATTCTTTAGGCCACGACGACTTCAAGTGCAAATAAAGTATTAGCAACATTATAATATCCATAATTTTTACCCCAATTTTTTTAATTATAAATACTACCTGTTAGTCAGAAATGATTCGTAGGATTGATGTGTTTGAATATACCGAGGGGTGAAACGCTATTCGGTTTAAGCGACATTTCACTTAATAAGCAATGTTTATCTTTGCAATTAAGAGTGCGTTTTACTCGGCATCAACAGTTTGATGTTTTTAATTGAACTTCAATTAAGTTTACATCATTCAAATATACTAATGTTATCAACAATACAATATTGACTTTTGGAAGGTCTGTTAGTTCTTTTGTCGTCTATTTTATGTACATAATATGAGATCGGTCAATTCGTTCCTTGTCGTCTGCTTCGTGTCCGTCTTTTAGAAAGTCAAAAAAAGTACTGCCTGCCGCTAGTCGCGTACGCCCTCGTTCCATTTCTCTCTTTATTTTTGAATTCTTGTCAAGTGTCCGTCTTAGACTATGTTTAGTCTTTGTAGGTCTTATGTCCTGTCAAAAAGGTTGCACGCCACGACAACTTTAATATTGAGAATATTAATACGTGAAGCAAAAACTTTGTATCCCTTTTTACGAAAATTGCGCGGACGGAGGACTATGAAGTTTTCCACACTTATAGAGAATATAGAGAAGAAGTGCACAATGCTAATATTTTTTTTGGATAATGTATAAAAGATACATTAAATCAATAAAGAAAACATTACACACACTACATACCATGTATTTAACGCACACACGCATGCATACTATTTATTGTCAAACTGTTGTTCTTGGCGTCTGTTTGTCAAATTGACAATAGATTAAATATTGTTTGTCTTTGTTAATATTTTTTATAGTGTAGTCTTGGCGAAATTTGTGATTATAGAAGTATAAAATACAATGATAATAGTGTACAAACCTACAATTCCAATTAATTATAGTCGAATTTCGACTACTGCGGGACCTCTAGTATTGAGAATTTAACAAGGAAAATTATAACTCACTCAACAGATCCGGCTGCGGAACCCATTTCACGAACTGAATCTTTTCTGGTGCTTGGGGTTTGTCGGCGCTATTCCATTTCCAAATGACGTCATACGGCAATTCAGAAAATACTTTGATGAATATTTGAATCTTTTCTATTGGCAATTGTCTTTCCTGGACTGTAGTGCCAAAACTAATATAAATAACACCATTCTTAGAGTTATCCAAGAGTTTTTTCAGATCCTGTAAAAGATGAAAAAAAAAATCATTTTAGATTTGGCTTAACTAACAACTGTTTGGCATTTACTAATATCAAAACGCTACAAGATACATTAGTTATATTAGATACTAGATAACAACAATGTATTGTTACCAAAACCCTATTACACAAAATCTGATAAAAAGAAAATTGAGAGCTATCGGAAACTTATTTAGATTTTTTCCTGTCACACTTGCTTCATGCATTAAGCTTGAATGTGACCTCTGTAGACTCATTGAGCTTTAGTTTATGATACTTAGAGTATTCCGGAAGAGTTTAATTCGTTTTTTTTACCTGCGGCAGAACTGTGTTGGTTTTCTGAAACACGACACCCAAAAATACGATTCCTGGAGGAACAGGTCGATTGGACTCCCAAATCGGATGTGCATTGACCAAAAACAAATTGGAGTTCTCGAACAATTCTGACATAGTTGGACTGCCAGGCTCCACTTTCTCTATTAGTGCATTCTCCACTTCTTCATGAGCGTAGATCAATTTTGTTAAATATACTTCTTTGTAAGTCTCCGTTATTTGTTCTATCAAAGTAAGATTTTTGACTCTCTGTCTTAAGACGCTCGGATACATTAGATGAACAGGAGCTCCCATGGTTTCAGCATTAGTTACACCAAAACCAAATGAACTCAATAATATAACAGGCGCTTTTAACACATGACCCAATAACACTGTTATTCTGTAAGTCGATTCTGTAATCACTACATCAAATTTTTTATCATCTTTGAGTAGTTTTTGTACTACATCACTTCTGTATTGGACCTCAAAGACTTGCATTAATGCGTCTATTAAAGATGTGCATTGAACATATACGTTATTTTGACCCTTTATGTTCTTACTAAAAATTTTGATATAAGTCTTGTAAGAAATATCGTGCAAGTCTACTTCTGTGAGATTTTCTGGAGTTTTTCCTGCAGGATAGGCCGGGTCTGTGGTGACTACAACGACTTCATGTCCTCGTTTTACCAGTTCTTCAGTAAGCGGTCGGAATGTGAGATGATGACTGAGTGATGGCATAGTAAGAAACGCCAGTATCCTTGCCGCATCACAATGTACCAACGATATGAACGTCAAAAAATACTGAATTATATTCATTGTGAGATTGTTTCAGGAGGAGAATTTCGAAATCACAAAAAACATTTTGTCGCTTTGATTGTGTGAGCTCAGCTTGAAGACTAATGTTGTTAAAATTATATTCAGTACATAATTAAACCCAAATATACAATAAAATAATGAAATTTTCAACAGTTGATCAAACAAAAGTGGGCAGTTTCGAAATGTTATCTTAAAGGGTAAATATGTACAGCATTTATATTTTAAAATATGTTTAAACTGTTACGTCATTATCAATGTTTAAACTGTAACAGCTCACTTATTTTTCTTCTTTAAATTTTTAAGGCCAGATAAAGTAGATGGTTCAGTATCAAGGGGTCTTGGATGTTTCATCTCGCCCATATGACTTTTGCTACATAATGGTCTAGAGTAATTCATTTAATTAATAAAGAATATTCTGGCATTGGAGGTGCTATACTCATTCACTGCTATATACCTGTTTCTAAAATATTTGTTGACAACGCATTATCTACAGCAGATGGTAATCCAGATTTGGAAACGAAATCTCCTGAAAGAATTCCATGTGCTACAAAAATTATATAACAATGAAGTCTAAAAATCCTTAAGTATCTAAAGTCCTTAGCAATAGGATGCGACTCAATTGTGATGATGACCATGGTAACTGGTTTTTATGATTAGGCGCCTCACCCGCACGGTGCAGTCTCGTATCCTGAAAATTTTTGGGCATGTGCCGCGGGCGGAGATCTGTGATCGTTCGTCTAGTGGTACATGGCAGGGCAGAGGGTGTCAGTGTCAGAGCGCTGCAGATCTCCCGTAAGCTGGACTGACCTAGTTAAGGCTACAACGGATTGTCCTCTGTGCGTAAGCACCAGACACGCAGCCGGATTAAAGGAGGGGTGCCGTCACTGAAATCATGGACGCCACGACCGCTCTGCCACCAAGAAGGATAATTTAAGATATCATCATTATCATCATCAGCCCACAGTCGTCCACTGCTGGACATAGGACCTCTTCCTATCCACACCACTGAGCCCGGTCTTCGGCTTTCCTCATCCACTTTTTGTCGGTCCCCGTTGAAAGGTCATCGCACTGCCTAGTCAGTGGGCGTCCTGCGTTACGTTTTCGTTTATTACGTTAATTTAAGATATGCATTACATATAAAAAAAAACACTTTTTTTTAACATAGACGACACGAGTTCCCAGCTCTATTGAGTGCCCCTCTTATTTCTTAAGCAGTTAAAATTTAATATCTACCTAAGAGTGATGACAAAGTTTTTGACAAATATTGATACAGATTGGTTATTTATAATCTACATTATTAGTATTCAAATGTTTAAAATTAACTTTATTGCTTTTATTAAATATTAAGTAATTCTCCGCTTAATGCTTCCAATCGAATTATTACGTAATTCACTAAGATAACGTTTTAAAGTATCAAATGCATTTTTTTTTATCTTTATGTCAATAGTACGCAAAGAAAGGTGACAGATAAATATTTTGACTGATTGAGAATGGATTGTACTTAAATTGATAACTCGCCACAATAATTGAAATACTTTAGTGAGATTTCTTTGAAGAAGTCTTTTCTTCTTCTGAATCGGTCTCTTCATTGCTGAAGGTCGTGTCTAATCTGAAATGTGGACCACTCGATGCACAATGCTTCCCCACGTCTTCCTGTCCTCGGCGGTCTTTATAGCCTCGGTTATTGGCAGGCCGGTGAGCGTCTTAACCAGATCAGACCAGCGGATAGGTGAATGATTCGCAGAATTGATCACCGCATCAGGATCGCGACCCACTGAGAAAATCAGGGTAATGATATATATAAACAAACGCACACTGCAGCAACGGGCGGCGGCTCAGCTGTGACTCTGGCAACCCTGAAGTCCATTAACGACGGTAACCACTCATCATCAAGTGGCTCGTTTGCCTACAAAGGCCAAAAGGAATAAAAAGAAAAATGACTTCATGACTGGACTATCTGAGTATAAATATTGTTACGCCGGCAAGAGTAACGCCATCTGTCATCAAACAGCAGAAACGGATATCAAAAGAACTAGAAATATCGAGAAGACTCGAGAAGTGTAACGCCATCTATTATCAAATAGCGAAAACACACATCGAAACGACTCACGTTATTGAGAAAGTTCTCGGTAATTGTAGTCTTGTCGTGTCAACAGTAAAAGCGTTGAGAGACGCGAGAGATGATATGAAGGCAGTTGAATAGCCACCGGATCGGAAACGCGACCCACTGAGAAGATCCGACGAGAAACTTAGTGGGCTGTGTCTATGGGTTAATTCACTCGTCGAGTCCTTCGTCACAAGCGACAGATTCGACGAGCACGGTGGCTGGTGCTTGTAGTACCTAAAATCACCGTTAATGGATCGGGAGGATCCGTAATGACGTGTTTAAGGCGACGTCGACTGTTTACCATTCGGTCTAAAGGATCGGCTTAGACGGCTATCCTGCAAAAACGGGATTGAATGACTTGAAGGGGTTTCATGTTGGTGCGGGCCGCGTGAGTGAGCACTACGCTTGAATAGGTCATGACAGGGCGTATGCAAGTTTTGTAGAGTGTCACCTTATTTCGAAGGGACAATTTACTTCGCTAGCAAATCATGGGATAGAGGCGTCCTAATATGAAGACGGCTCGGTCGCGTGCCGTTTTAATGTGGGGTCGGAATGGACGGCATTCCTCTGTCGAGAGTGGCGCATACTAATTTGACCTTCGAGTCCCACGGTATGGGCTGGCCAAAGAGAGTGATGGGGAACCAGTAATCCTTTCCTATTCCACATTTCTAATTTTTGGACTATTAGAAGCGAACCAAATTAAATTTCTAGACGAAATTACAAAGCTAAATGAATGTTGAAAACGACTTAAAACACTCCGTTTTTTAATATCTTAATTACTGTGAAACGTACGCCTTTCAGTAATTAAGCTTAGGACTTAGTGATGAGCGAAAGGCGATTTGATATTTAGATTTTAAATTTCAATCTTGATTTTTTCTGGTACCATTGTAAATGTATACATTTGTCGTAGATCTAAAACTATATTGACTAGAGGTCCCGCAGTAGTCGAAATTCGACTATAATTGCAATTGTAAGTTTGTATTTTATACTTCTATAATCTATTATGATTGTATTTTATACTTCTATAATCACAAATTTCGCCAAGGCTACACCATAAAAAATATTAATAAAACAAACAATATTGAAGTATTCTCAATTTGACCACTGACGTCAAGAACAAAAGTTTGACAATTAATAGTATGCATGCGTGTGTGCGTCAAATACATGGTATGTAGTGTGTGTAATGTTTTCTTTATTGATTTAATGTATCTTTTATGCATTATTTAAAAAAATATTAGCATTGTGCACTTCTTCTCTATATTCTCTCTAAGTGTGGAAAATTTCATACTCCGCCGTCCGCGCAATTTTCGTAAAAAGGGATACAAAGTTTTTGCTTGACGTATTAATATATAGATAATTGAGTAAGGCAGCAAGGTGAAATTTAGTAGAAGGACAAAAATCGCATAGCTAAGTACATTATTATAAAATGCCTATATATTTATGTGCATAATATGTTTGTATTTAAATAATAATTGATAAATGGATAATAAAGTAAATGGGTACAAATAACACACGTACGTCCGGCCCCAAATTAGGATTCCCTTTCTTATGAGAACAAGAGACTGACATATATACGTTTAAATATATACTATATAGATAATGGGCACCTAGAAAAAGAGTAAACAAACCTGTTTACCAGACGAATGTTTGCCCGATGTGGCAATAGAACTCACGACCCTCGGCGCAATAGTCAGAGCCGCGAACTAATGCACCACTGCGTCACCATACAGTTTATCTATACTAATATATAAATCTACAGTGTTTTTTACGGATGTTCCGTTATAACTACTGAACCATACATCCGATTGACTTGAAACTTGGTATTCATGTAGAAAATACATGTACTTAATGGATAGGCTAATATTTATATGAGTGTTGGACTCCCTACACGAGTTGCGGGGGCGTTAATGATGAAAATTTTTGGGGGGTGAGAAATAGTAATGTTAATTTTAAATGACCAGCGAAGCGGACGGGTAGAGGTAGTATAGTATGACGGTACTAGCCATACAAGGTAATATAGATTTAAAAGCATCGAATACGCTTTTTAACACACCAACATCGTAACCTAGGACTCTTGTTTACAATTTTTAAGCTTGCTTTGCGCATTCGTGACCTAAACGACTTTGGGTCAGTATCTCGAGTGGGAGCTTATGCAGCCCGGCTACAGAAGCTTGTGCTTTCACGTTTTTTCTGATTCGAGAACATCTGAATTATGTAAATGTTGTTTTAGAGTTTAGAGATTTTATGAAAATGTAATTTGTATTTACAATAAATAGATAGGAACTATTCAATTAGTCATGCATTTCAGTTTGGCGGGTAGGGACGATTGTCGCAACCAGATCATATGTAAAATGTTCAAAAAGACAAACGCTTTAATAGTAAACAAATAAACTGGAGCTATCTCCGGTTTATTTGTTTACTATTAAACTGCTTCTGCTTGCCACCCCATGGTAGTAAGCAGAAGCGAAGGTAGGAACATTTTTTTTGCTTTGATGGGTGGACGAGTTCACAGCCCACTTGGTGTTAAGTGGTTGCTGGAGCTCATAGGCATCTACAACGTAAATGCGCCATCCACCTTGAGATATAAGTTCTAAGGTCTCAAGTATAGTTACAACAGCTGCCCCACCCTTCAAACCGAAACGCATTACTGTTTCGGTTTGAAGTGGTCCTACCACCAGTAATTACGCAAATTATAATTTTGCGGGTTTGATTTATATTACACGATGTTATTCCTTCACCATGGAAGTCAATCGAGAACATTTGTTGAGTACGTATTTCATTAGAAAAATTGGTACCAGCCTGAGATTCGAACACCCCGTGCATCGCTCAACACGAATGCACCGGAAAAGTGTTATCCTTTAGGCCACGACGACTTCGTCGACATCGTTCGTCG